GCTATTTTATATTTTTGGTACTTTTATCTTTAACCAATATTAAAGTTTATTTTCATTTAAGGATTTTTTTTGAGGGGCTGGATTTTATTATATCCTAGAATAATATTGCCACTTTTCCTTGTCTTTTGTTGATGTTAACCAATCCTGTGCAGGAACATAGATTGCAAGCCCCAATAATACCTGGGTCCACTATGGGAAAAAAAAAATTAACTTTTATTTGGACTTCCTTTTCAGTAACTTCTAGTGTGAAGGTTTTATGGCCAACTACCTTCCCTTTCCACGTAGTAGTGTAGCAGTTTTTATTTTATGCAAAAATCATAAAGACACAATGGTTGCCTTGCTTTTTGAGACTTCACATTGACTTTATTTTAAAGTGTAAAAATTTGCCTTTAAGTCTACCTCAATGTTGGAGTATGTGGCTTTGTTCTCTTTCTTGTGATTATTCTCACAAATCAGGGTAAACTTTAGTAAGAAAAAGGTTATCATAAAAAGATGGCTACTAACTTTGATATTTCTTATGTATTGTTGTCTTCCTGATTATAGGGAAAGGCAACCTTTTTCTTTATTCCTAATTGCTAATTTTCATAGTTCATTTTGCGTCCTTTTTATTTATAAAGGGTATGGATCAAGACAAATCAGAATAAATTTTCATGTATATTCATGAAAGTATTTGGCAGGAACTTTATCAGTCCATCCTGCCAGTGGTTTAAGTGCTCTAAAACCAAGTAGTGTTGTCAACTGTCTTCCTCTTGCAGACCTACTTGTTTCTTCTGTTTAATCCCTCTTTTTTTAAATGCCAACTAGTGTTTAAAACAAAACAAGTAAAGGTTTTTCTTAAGGGAGTTGTAAGCCATGGGAAAATTTTTAGCCAATCACTTGTGGAAAGTATTGTCAATGCCTTCTTGAGGAGATCATCATATAGTGCCTAGGTACTTTTCTTACTGAAAATCAGTATAAGCTGAATAAGATGAAGCATAGCTTCAGGTAATATGATACATATCCTTGTTGGTAGGTAGTAATCAGAAATGGAGGAAGCTTTTTTGTGATTTGGGAGGGGGTATCATAAATCCTTAAGCTACTTCAGAAGTTTTTGTTAGGCATGGTAACAATATACAAAATCCAGTACTTCAAACATACATGTAAATTAGTATTTGAATTAAAGTTAATATAATGTAGTTTATACTTTACATATTAATATGTGAATAAAATATGCTTATTTTTAGTCTCCAGTAAATTAAGTAAATTTCTTACCATATCATTCTACATATTTCTATATATCAAGTTGAGTTTTTAAATTGCTGATACTTTTGTTACACTTAATTTTTGCTAGTTTTATTAACCTTCTGCTTGAACCATAGTTTAGCAAAAGAAATTTCATCAAATAACTTCCTAGTAAATTGATAGTCATTAGAGTTTAAATAAGTAGAATATTTCTTTTATAATCAAATAACCATTTTGTTTATAATGCTGAATTCTCTCTTAGCTTCTAAGAACAATTACTTTCAAAATTTTTTTCCCAGTCCTTATGACAAAAGAAAATTTGGAATACCTAAGGCAATTTGGCTGTAGTAGAAGCAATAACAACAATGCAGTACTTTGGAGTAGGCTCTATTTTGTTGGGCTGTCTGGGTTTGAATCCTTGCTCTGCCAATTTAATTACAAACTTATAGGTAGTGTTTTGTTTTGTTGGTTTTTTTTTTTTAGTGAGAGAGAGAGAGAATTTTTTAATATTTATTTTTTAGTTTTCAGTGGACACAGCATCTTTATTTTATTTGTATGTGGTGCTGAGGATTGAACCCAGTGACCCTTGCATGCTAGGTGAGCGTACTACTGCTTAGCCACATCCCCAGCCCAATAGGTAGTGTTTTGATGGGAGGATTTTGGAGTGCTGACTTGTGTGAGAACTAGACAGAAAATATGCTATTTATGGATGGATATAAAAGTTCTCTTTTTACATTGGAAAGTAGCTCTCTTTTGTCAAACTATGGGGTATTATGAGGGGTGGAATAATGAATGGAAGGACAATGAGGGGGTTTGGGCAGCAGTGAATTACCAACCACAATGAAAGTACTAAGTATTTCATTAACATATATGGACATATTTTGGTCCATGCTGGCTGAATATCAGCCCTGGTTACATGTTAGGTAAGGAGAAGAATAAAATTTAGAAGCAAGATCTTTTATTAACCTGTCCTTAAACTTGTCATGCTCAGAATATCTTTTTTGACAGCAATACATAATATCTCTCCTGTTACTGATTTCTTAGTCTGTTTATCCTATTTCATGCATGAAACATCCTTCTCAATATTACTTGATAGTTATCTTAAAGTGTTAATAATATAGGACTGATTGATGTCATATTATTAGTAGGTTACTCAGAATTAGGCCTTGGGCTGGGGCTGTAGCTCAGTGGCAGAGCACTTGCCTAGCATATGCGAGGCATTGGATTTGAGCCTCAGTACCACATAAGATAAACAAAGGCATTCTGTCCATACACAACTAAAAAAAAAAACTTAAGGCCTATTAGGCCTTGTCAATAGCTTCTTTGAAAAATAAAGGTTAAAAATATTACTGTAGCAGTATCACATGCCCATAACTCCAGAGACTGGGGAGGCTGAGGCAAGAAGATCTCACGTTTAAGCTTGCCATAGAAATTTAGTGATACCATCAGCAACTTGGCAAAATAAAAAATAAAAAGACTGAGGATGTAGCTCAATGGTAAAGCACCACTTATGTTTTTATTTGACTTAACAATTGCATTAGGTTACTTGAGCAGCCACACAAAGTATCACAGACTGGGTGGCTTAAACAGATATTTATTGTATCTCTCACAGTTTTGGAAGTCACAAGTTAGGAATCAAGGTGTTAGCAGATTTGTTTTCCTTTTGAGGACTGTGCAGGAAAATCTGTCCCATGTCTTTTTCCTAGTTTATGGTGCTTACTGGCAATTTTTGGTATTCCTTGACTTGTAGATGTATCACTTCAATCTCCTCTTATGTCTTCATGTTCCATTTCTGAGACTCTTAGTAAATAGTCTCCCCTCTGTGTTTGGGTCTAAATATCACCTTTCTCTGAAGATGCATTGTGTTGGAGTAGGGCTCATCCTAAAGACCTCATCTTAAGTTGACTCTAATCTACCTGGACCTAAATAAGGTCACTTTCTGAGGGTTTCTGGTTTAGGATGTCAACATAATCTTTTGGAGTGGACACAGTCAAACACATGGTACCTATATGAAAAAAAAAGTTTCACTGGTAGAAATTTGAGTATGTCTGCCATATTGCTTTTTATTGTTTTACTTTAAATATCTGAAATTTTTCTTAAATTCTAAGTATATTTTTTCTAAATTCTATAATTTGTACTGGAGACTAGTAATCATCCAAATTATATCTGGGTACTAATCATATTTTCTGTGGATATATGTACTACCTCATTAAAACATGCCTGATTTTGAAATTTTAATTAAATGATAAAATATGATGCATGACAATTAGAAGTCAGAATACTATAAATATTGCATTTATTTTTTGTGGTAATCTTTGTAATGTGTCTAGTTGAGCCATGATACACATTCTTTTATTGTATTACTTCTTGAAGCAATAATTAATCTCTTATTTTTAGAAAGCTTCTACATTCACAAGGTGATGAGAGACTCAGATCTCATATATGGTATTACATTAGCCAGACTAAATGTCCTGTTGTCATCAGGTCTTCATTAGACTTGTACATTTCCTTGGAACTTTATTGAAATTCTTTATTATGTTATAATCACAAATGTGATATCAGATAGTCTTTAAAAAATCAAAGAGACTGCTCTAGTTTTGAATGAATATTGTGAAAATATTAAAGGTATGTAAATATTTCATTTAGAAATTTTTAGTATACTAATAGTATAAACATGTTTGTTCAGGTTTTGACTGGATCATCTCGTCAAAGCTATTCACCTTCTGGCTTTCAGGATTTCAGTAAGTGGGAATCCGTGCTGAAAATAAAAGAAGGACTTCTAAGACAGAAAGAGATTGTAATTGATCGGTGAGTCTGTTTTTTATTTACTAAATATTACAGGTATATAGAAATGTAGATTAATGAAACAAATACATTTGCACCCACTACTTTAAATTAGAGAACTACAATTTACAAAATTCATTGATGGCACCTTTGTCCCTCTCTAGTCCCCATAAAGGGGAAAGCAAGACTTCTCAGAACAGAGGTTTTGTTTCTCACCTGCTGGTATGCCTGATTTCTATCATCATCTTTATTCACTTTAGTGTTAACTTATTATTCGGAAAGTTCTCTCTGTGTTTTTTATATATGTAGCAGGTTAGTTGCAAAGCTAATGAATTATCAGAGCTACAGAATATTGTCTTTTGTTTAACATTTAGGGACTATCAATTTGGAAAACTACTTAAAAGTCATTATTTCCTTTAATGTATGTTAAGTCTGAACCACAGAAACTATGAAAATGATGTTTAAAGTTAAATAACTTTTTATCTTATGGAAGTTTTCTTGGACATACCAAAATTTTTGAATGTTTGAGTACCAAATCTCTGAAAAATAAATTAATTTATACTTAGTTTCCTGATTTTTCTGAGCAGTAGACTTTAATGTTACTTGATTATATTCTCTTTGACATATATTGGCTCTACATCATTTATGTATACTTTTGGGATAATTAAGTGTGTATTGTGGTAATTGGGAAATAGTTTGAGGAATAATATTTTTATCAACCAGCAGCTTTTGTTTCTAAAGTAATATACTAGCATTTAAAAATAAAAATGTTTGTAAAAATCTCCATAACATTTATAGTGCTTAAAAAAGAACTAAATATCCATTTATTTTTTGAGGAAATAGATTAAACTAATAGACTTCAAAATATCATTAGTTAGACAGAATTACTCTGGGATGGAAACCAGAGTAAAGGTCCTGAACTTTATAATTTGGGATGTGGTGTGGTTGATCATACCTTCCAAATCTCTTTTCTAAAAATTATTTGCAAGATATTATTTTTGAAAATATCAGGTTACCTGCAATTATGAGAAAAATGTGCTTTTTTATCCTATTTATGCTCTTTAAAATAGATGGTTGGATAATTAGGTCAAATCCTTTGAAATAGATTGTTGGATAATTACGTCAAAGTGGGATAAAAGTTTAGGAAAAATAACTGTGCTCCTAAATGTGCCCCATTTCTTGAGAAAACATGTATAGTTTAATTTCAAAAACAACTCATAAAAACAAGAAACCTAGTTTATTATTTATTATATTTGCCATTGTAACTATTTAGATGATTCTGAATGAAGTGCCTGACCTTTTGCACTTTGGTCTACTCATCTGCCTCAGTTAAAGGACTTTCACCACTTAAAAATTAAGTTTTTGAAGACCATCATTTTAAGCAACTCTCCTCTTCCATCCAATTTTATAGCATGATGATTAAATGAATGAATATATGTAAAGGAAAACTAATATACTACCTGATATATGAATTTGGCAGAGTAGCAAGATACAAGATCAACATTCATAAATCAATAGCTCCTTATACCCCAACAGTGATTCTGCTGAGAAAGAAATCACGAAAGCCATTCCATTCACAATAACCTAAAAAAATACATATACTTGGAAATTAAGCTAACTAAGGAGGCGAAAATTAAAATGAAAATTATAGAACATTGGAGAA